GACATATCCACATAGGGTAAGGGGCAGGTTGAAAAGAGAGTGTGAATGGGGGCAGATGGCTCAGCACAGCCCAGGAAAAGGGGGTTGGTGAGCCATGTTGCCCTATTTCGTGGAGGAATGCCTCATTAGGGATTTGTGAATCTTGACTTTTGGATTGGTTCATTGACCTATGATCTCACGAAGCCCAGTGATTCTGAAGAAGACTGTTCTAAACTAGCGGTTCTTAATATGGGGCAAATTTACCCCTCACCCCAGGGAACATTTGGCAATGTTTGGAGATATTTTTGCTTGTCACAACTGGAGAGGCGCTACTGGCATTTAACGAGTAGAGGCCAAGGATCCTACAGTGTACAGGACAGGCTTTACAACAAAGAATCCTCTTGCCCCATCTGCCAATAGTGCTGAAATTGAGAAACCCTGTTATAAACCAGTTTAGAACTTTGATCAAGAATGAAGTGATTACGTCTTACGAGGTTTTGGTTTAAGGAGTGGAGCCTCTTCTTAGTATAGTACCAGTCCTGTGATGCTGGCTTTGTGACCTCCCACTGCATTGCTAGTCATATAAAACGGTGTTGTGAAAATCTTGAAAATATAGACCCATATTCAACAATTGTTTCCTGTTTCCTCTGGTGTCAGAACAAGATTAATAATTGCTTTTTAGTTTAAACTTGTTCTTTCAGGCTTTTTCTGTGTGGTTGATATATTTAGGAACATGATTCAGCCTGCAACATATCCATATCTGTATGATAATGAGCCATTGTACTACAGATTTCTGTTGCGCACACCATTCTCATTTTTAGCAATTTAAGCTATTGACCAGCTTCCAAGAAAAAGCTTATCTACTGCAGATTTGGTGTATAATTTTAGGCGATTGTTCCAGACATAACAATAAGGGTAAGATGACACAACTACAGAAATGTTGGCCTTTGCCCTTCAAAGAAGTAGGAGTGGCTGGGTGTGGCACCTGTTGAAGGAACAGCGATGTTTCGTGGTGTCGGGCTGATTCTATTTTGTGAGGTGAAAAAAGACTTTACAGTGCTGGAGGGTTTTTGAAAATTCCTCTGGAAATAATACTGAGAAAAAAATAAACTTTACCTAATGCATCCTCGTGGAACATAAATTTAAAAATGCAGATTAGCCAGAAGAAAAGAAAAAGGCTAAAACATCTGTATTTTCATCACGGAGAGAAATGATGATTATGTTTTGGTATATATCTCTCCACCGATTTCTTTGTTTTGTGTACAGAAGCATAGAAAACAGCTTCACTAAAATAATGATAATGATGCTAAACACTTGGCATGGAATGTCATTTATTGAATCCTCCCTACAACACTGCGATCCCGTTTCATACATAAGGAAACTGAGGCACAGAGAGGCAAAGGAACTTACCCCTTATTATCCTGTGAGTTACCTGCAGAGTTGTGATTGGAACCCAGGAAACCTAGCTCCAGAGTTCATGCATATGGCTTAGTAATCTGTATTATTCACTTAAAATATATTCACTTAAATATCTTTCCATGTCACTAAATACATCTCTATGGTAGCACTTTCAATGGCTTTTTAGTGTTCAGTTCTTATGCCCCATAGTTTACCATCATTTATATAGACCTTAAATACCAAATTCAGTATTGCTGGGCATTTTTGTTTTCCAACTTTTCAATTTTAGATAATTCTATGATGAGCATTCTTGAGGAAATCTTGGCTCACCTACTTACTTAGAATACAATGAAATTGATGTTAGACCTTATCTTTAAAAGGTGATATTTCTTAGCCACCCACATTTCTTCTTAGATTAAAAGAAACTCGACCTTGCTTTTCAGGAGTGTGGACCAGTGTTGTGTTGGGGAATGTTTCCCTCCCACGGCTTCTCCCTTCTTCTTGCTGCTCAGTTTGTTTCTGGGGACCTGCGCAATGCTGGTGAAAGAGACAGGCATCACCGTGTTCGGCGTGTGCTTGGTCTATGATCTCTTTTCGCTATCCCACAAGCAAGAGAAATCGTAAGTCAATTTAAATTTTGGATATCAAGCAGTGCAGGTACAGAGAAGAATTACTTAAATCAGTAGTTTTTAAGCTTTCATTAAAAAAATAGAAGTATAACATTTTGTTAAATGTAAGCTCACCTTAAACTGTAATATAATAAAGTTATTTCATTAAGATAAATGCATTATATATGTTCAAACTCTTCACACTTTTATAAAAATGAATGAGGATTATAACGTTTTTGTGAGCCCGGAATTTGGAATTGAAAAGTGTCTATGCTAATTGCAGGTTTATATAGCTAGATTGTTTTGGTTGCATACTACTGAGAAATCTTGATTCACAGAGGAGTGGTTGCAAATGGTTAACAGTTTGTTAACAGCTTGCTTTGAGTCTCTTCATTCCAGTTGAGTGTTATCCATCAAAGAACACAGGAGTCTGTTTACTTGCTCAAGGGGTGGTGCTGTTACCTAAGAGTTTTGGGAGGCATCTTTTGAGATTCCACACAGAGCCAGCCTAAACCATACAAGATCTCTCTCGCATTGTATTCAAATTAAAGAGCAAATTTATTTAGTTGCCCTTTTCCATTTAAAAATTTTAAGGCACATTCATTTAAGGCACATTCAGTTTTAGATGATAAGAGTGATTAAGGTGTATTAAAAGTTCAAGCAATACTATAATTTTCTGCCTCTATCAAATCCATAATTACTAACCGTTTGACATGCAGACCCCATTTTTCAGTAATTATTAGGCCCTTACTTTTGAACTTTGAAAAAAATGTGGTTGATTTCTTCTCCTGCCTTGTCCGATGAAGAATTTTATCTTTAAAAAAAATCCTGCCTTTTTATCCCATTCCCTACCTCCTTATGCTTCTTGACATAAAGATAAGAGCAGCGCTGTTGAGTGGCAACAAGCTGAGATGAGTCATTAAGTTCTGATCACCTTCCTGCCTGGGTGTACTTGGAGATAATTTAAATAGATTTTAGTGCTCTGTTGGCGCTCGGTAAATCTCAGAGGCGTGTATAAAGAAGGAGGCCAGTTATCATTTTGACCCAAGCTCGTGCCAAGAAAGCTGTGAGCCAGAGGACCTCCCCTTGGCTTATATGAGAATGACTTTCCTGTGTCCTCTCAACCGACGGGAGTAATCACATTGCTTCTTTACTTTCTAGAGAGCAACCTATCAACCTCTCTTGCTTCCCACTTCCTTCTTGCATCCTCGTCTGCCACCTAACATCTTTCTCAACGACAGCAGAAGGATGTGACAACTGACTGCAGGCCCTCCCCTTTGGTCCAGTCCAGAGCTATTTTAACCTCATCATTAAGGTCCTGTCTCCTCTGGTCTTGGGACTCTCCAGCCCACTATTGCCCACACTCCTTTCTTCTTCATCTGGGCCCTTTTGAGCTAGGCTTTTTTCAAAGGGAGTAATTGTCTCTTTGATTCCTTTACTAATCGTTCTTGACCTTCTTTGTACTAAACTGCTACAAGTCCTGTGTTAGGAATAATACTGCTGACATGTAGCTCAGAAGCTGGATGGCTCATAGACTGTAATTTTTTTTTTTTTTTTTTTTTTTTAGTAACTTTCAGCTGTCATAGCCAGCAGCTCTGCCTCAGTGGAGACTCATTCTTTCCTTCATCCTTTTATCCACCCATTTCGACACATGCTCATTCTGTGCCTGGTCAAGAACAAGACAGATAAGATTCCTTCCCCCATGGAGCATATATGATATGGGGGGAAACAGACATCACATAAGTAATCTCATGAGGAACTGATTACAGAAGGAACTGAGAGCACGTGATGGGAAGACCTGGCCAATAATGGTTAATATCTCTGGAGTGCACGCCATGTGCCAGGCGCAGTGCCATGCCATCTACAGGTGTGAAGTCAATGCTCACAACAGTTGTTACTTTGCTTTACAGAGGAGAAAAGAGAGGCATAGAAAGTAACCTCTCCAAAGTCATCCAACCCCAGGTGGAGCCAGAACTTGGACCCTTGTCTGTGTGACTCCAGAGCCACAGGGTTACCCCTCGGTGCTCTACCTCCATGAAAGACACACAGGACGGGGATCTGGAGACCTCCCAGGGTCTGGGCTCACAGTGGTATCCTGAGACTAGCTCAGAGGGTCTGAGGGTAGTGGAGGTCATAATCCCTTTGTGAATCTCACAAAATTGTGTCTCCATTTCCTAGAATAATGTACATACTCATAGGTTTTCACAAACTCTTCGGGGTCTACCCCCCCCCCCCACTTTATCTGCTAATTTAGAGTAAACATCTAAATTGTTCTTGAGGTCTTTCATTGTATGGTCCAGGCAGCAGGAAAGAAATGACAGAAACAAGCATTGGAAGCATTTTCCTACGTGAAGAACAATTTATTCCTAAATTTTCAGATTGGGCCACATGAGTGGAGTGTCATTTCTTTTATTGGACATCACCTTTAGGAAGAAACATTTTCAGTGAAAGATCAGCTCCTGAAAGTTAAATTTCTTTTTGCTTTTCTTTCTTTTTATAACATTAGGATATAATTTCCAACATGCAGAGAATAACATTCCCCGATCCCAGTCCTCACCCTCTCTCTGTAGAAGTAACCACCATCCTGAATTTGGCACTTTTCATTCCTATGATTGTTTGCGTGCCATTGCTTCATGTGTATATACCAGTGAATGTCAAATAATATTGTTTTACATGCTTGCAAACTTTATATAAATGGCATCACTTGCTTTTCATTTAACATTGGACTTTTGAGATAGATCAATGTTGATACATGTAACTCTAGTTCATTTATTTTAACTGATGTATAGTATTTAATTATCACAATTTATCCATTTTCCTGGATTTGGAATTACTTTCCCGCTTTTTGTTATAAACTGTGCTGCAGTGGGTTTTTATGTGCACATACATGTCAGTTTTTCTAGGGCACGGCCATAGAAGTGGAGTTGCTGGGACCACAGAGAGATGCTTGTTCAGTGTTACATGCTGAGACATTGCTCTGGAAATGATTGTAGCAGCGTATGAGAATTCCCTCTGTTTCACATTCTTACCATCACTTGGTAGTATCAGACTTTATTTTTTTTCTCTTTTTGGTGAGGAAGATTGTCCCTGAGCTAACATCTGTGCCAGTCTTGCTCTATTTTGTATGTGGGACATCGTCATAGCACGGCTTGATGAGCGGTGTGCAGGTCTGTGCCCAGGATCCTAACCTGTGCACCCTGGGCCACTGAAGTAGAGTGCGTGAACTTGACCGTTACACCACCCAGGTGGCCCCAGTATCAGACTTTTAAATTTTTCCCCAGCTAGTGGTTATGAGTTATACCTCAGAGGATTCATGAAAGAAAAATGTGAGAGTACGTTGGGTGGATCAGCTATGAACAGTATTTTATAAGATCGTAATAATGTAAATCCCAAATACCACTTCAACCAAATTATGAGAATTCAAATCATATTTATTATGAGAGAAATGTATTTGGAGGGTGAGGGATGAAGAGAGAGAGTGTGTGTGTGTGTGTGTGTGTGTTGGTGACCATGTAAGAGGGACTGGGTCCTAGTCTTCTATAGTAGGAAGTCAATATGATAAGTTCTAAAACTGAAAAAAAAGATATAAGTATGTAATTTTGCAAATATTGTGGTAAATACCAGAAACGGAAGAGCTAAAAGACTTGAGAATGGTTGCTTCCAGGGAGCAGGACTTGGGGATGGAACAGGGGACTGCTGTTTCTTGTTGCAAGCCTTGTCATTCTGTTTGACTTTGTTTCCCCTCAATTCCGTGCACAATTAGGAGCAATGGGGTCATCCCTCATCGCAGCCCGCAGCAGCCCCGGAGCCCCCAGCCCTCCTCACTGCCAGCGCACCCTCTCCGGGAGAACGGGAAGCAGCAGCGGTTCCCTCACAAAGGAGCTTGGGGTGGCTGCCACTCCCCATTGCCACCAGAACCCAAGAGCAGTGGATTCCCGGTGTCTCCTCGAGCTGTGTGGTCCATGATGAGGTACTGGGCTGGGCTCCTCGCCTGTGCGCGTTTTCACCATCCCGCATCACCTCTTACAAAGTAGGATGACTGGCGAAGGGAAGCCCTGCGTTGGTTCTTTGTGACCTCCCACTCTCCCTCCCTCCCTTCTTTCCTGCTCTCTCTCCCGCTTCCTTTCTTTTCTCCCTCCTTCCCTTCCTTCCTTCTATTAGATCAGATAAGAAGGGAGTAGCTAGCAGAAGCAAGTAGGAGCCCTGCTGTCTGCTGTTACTTGGGAGCAGGGGGTGAGCTGTGTGGCTGTGAAGCCTCAGTTAAGAAGAGCAGACATTTTACTGCTTCCCTGGTGGAAGAGCCCTGCATCGGAGAGGAGGCGCCCTCAGTTTTCTGGGGGAGGAACGCGCTCTGCCCTCCCCCTGCGCTGCCTCTCCCTGCACCCTGTGTGTGATGGGAATTTATCACAGCACAAGGGTGGGAGGAAGCCCAGGAGACGCTGCCTCTCACAAATGTTTCTGAGGATGCAGGAAAATCTTCACAGCATGCTATTTTCTTTCTTTTTTTAATATTTTGACCTAGCCATGAAAATTAACATGCGTTTATCAGAATAGGTGCTCACTAAATTAGATTGCCTCTAAAATAGCTCAAGCCATGGAAAAGTCAGAATTTAATAAAGATGGAAATTCAGTTCATATGATTAGCGCTTTACCACTTCTGATTGCTGTTCCTATTACTCTGTGCAGTCCTGGAAAACTCCCTGTTCAGGGTCTTTGTTTCCAATTATTGCCTCCTTTGCCTGTCTTTTGCATCTTTCTCCATTCATCTGTTCACCAACAAATGTCTGCTGAGCATCCACCATGTGCTAGGCGCTGTTCTAGGCCCCAGGGATGTCCTGGTGAATAAGGAAGACAACGTCTTTGCTCTTGTGTGGCTTCCCTTTCTGTGGAGCAAGACAGACACTGAATAATGAACAATGAGTGAACAGTGTGATGGAGAGTGATGGGTCTGTCTGGCCTGGGCAAATTCAGATTGGTTGGTGAGGGAAGGCCTCCTGAATCCTCGTGAATGAGAGAAAGAACCAGCCGTGCAAAGCTCTGCAAAGATCTGGGCAGAGGCTTCCAGACTTGGGGTCATGAGCGAGTGGGGATGGGAAAGGGTGCAGTCAGTGGGTGGGCAGGCCCGAATGCTGAAGGACCGTGTTGGCCATAGAAGCAAGTTTGGATTTTATTCTGAGTGGAATGGGAAGACTTTGGAGCTTTTTTTTTTTTTTTTTAAGTGTGGAGAGAAATGATTACATTTCTTTTTGAAAATGTTCACACTGGCTTTTTGTAGGGCGTGATGTTAGGGGGCAGGAGTGGAACAGGGAGAGGGGCTAGGAGGCCCCTACACAGAGTGAGAAAGAACGGGGCTTGGCCAAGGGTGATAGAGACTGGGAGGAAGAGATGTGGTGGATTTGGGGTATCTTTCAGATACACATCCAACAGGACTTACTGATGTTTGGGGTGAGGGGGTGAGAGAAAGGAAGAAAACAAGAGTTTTTGGATTTCTGGCTTAAAAAGTTGGGTGGATGTTGGTGTCAGTTACTGAGGTGAAAGGCTAGGGGAGAAATAGATTTTCTGAGAGTTGGGGGAAGATAAAATCGCCATAATGCATAAAATTCCTGAGGAAGAAAGAAGAGAGATAAATAGTCAAAACACTGAGGAAATCTTAACGTTGTAGAAGGCTGTGGAGGAAAAGAAGACAAAACATTTGGGGAACTTGTAAATTTTTTAAAGGAAGGCAAAGGAGGAGAAAAAGAGAAATTAATAGAGCATTGAAGACTTTCAAGGTGGGACAGAAGTCAGGCTATAGAGACCTTGAATTCCGTGAGGACAGGGACCTTGTCACTCACATTTGTAGCCCCAATTCCTTTTATTCTGTCTGTCTATTTGTAGTTGCTCAAACATTTGTGAAATGAGTAAATTAATGAGTGGATGGTAAGGAAGTGTTGGAATTAAACATAGATATAACGTTTTTAGTGAATTTGATACTGAAGGAATGGGGGAAAAAGGATGTTCACTGGAGGGATGTTAAGTTTTTGTTTTCATTTTTATTTTAAATTTAGTGAACCTGTGTGTGTATACGTAGATAACTTGTAGAGAGGAGAGGCAAAAGATGATGGAACAGAAAGGAATAAGATGAAATAGGAATACCAGTGATGTGCTGATAAATATTTAATAACTGGCTCTCCCAAGAAAGGAAATCCTGACTTGTAGTGCTTACCAATTTCCATGTAAATACTCCAGCCATGGCTGTTTCCAAGCTACAAATGTGACATCACTGAACGTGGAGTTGGGAGAGATGTGCAGTGGCCCATTGTCATGCAGTATTTCCACTACCAAGAGACAATAGACATAGATAACCTCAAGAGCATAGACAACAATAAAATGAAGTAAGCTAATTAGGAAGTGATGAGCTTTGAGGATTTATTACCTTTGTTTTTAATATGATTTACGGTCATACATCACTTAATGATGGGCTACATTCTGAGAAATGTGTGGTTAGGTGATTTTGTTGTTGTGCGAACGTCACAGAGTATATTTACACAAACCTAGATGGTATAGCTTACTGCACACCTAGGCTGTATGGTATTAATCTTATGGGACCACCATTGTATATGCAGTTTGTCGTTGACCGAAAGTCGTTGTGCAGTGCATGACTGTATTTAATTTTAAGTTTATATAATTTAATTTTCAAGAATGGCTGTTTTTAATAATGGGCTTGCAAAATTCATGAAAATTTACTAGTCATTTCTTGCAAGCCAGTGTGAACCAGCTCCAGCACACCAGTGAAGAAGGTCCTGCTGGGGCAAGAAAATTTTGTATCTGTTATCCATCTACTGTGTACCAGGCAGTGGGCAAGCACTTCCCATATGTTATCCCATGCAACTGTCACAATATCCGTTTAGGGTAGATGTTATAGTTCCCATTGCCAGGAGGAAATGGAAGATCTCAGAGGTTAATAAACCTTGTCCATATTTACCTAGTTCGTAAGTGGTAAGATCAAGATTGGGGCTCCAGCTGCTTGATCCCTAAACCTGTGCTTTGCCCATTTGCCATGCTCTAAAGTCCAGAGTCCCGGGCAAGGACCTAGCTTTAGGGAGGCATTCTCTGTGGAGCTGGCCTCCCTGTTGAACTCTCATGGGTAGGAAGATTCTTGCAATCATCCTTGGGTCCACAAATGAGGCCCCTCTTGCCTTCTTTATAGGGGATTGGCGCTAATATGTTGAATTAGATGACATGCTTTTGTAGCTTATACTTTGGTGTTTTTTTTTTTTTTTTTACCCAGAGCACCAGGCTATGTATTTTAGAAAAAAATGATGCCCAGAGAGCCATATACAGCACAGAATCTTACTAAGTTAACATGTTTGTGGGCAAGAAGGACCATTTTCCCTCCTTGGAAAGATAGCTTGTCATATATTTTCCCTCTTGGAGAGGAATGGTGTTATATATTTCGGTATAAATTTGATTCGTGTTAAAATTACTTTTGAAAAGTATGCTTGAACTTTTGTCAGAAGGTGATGAGGTAAAGCAAATCAGAGTTCGAAGAGGCAGTGTTTCCCTGGTTCTTAAGATCTCTGCAGACAGCATTTAAACACGGCTCCTTCGCCTCCTTGATCCTGGACAAGTTATTTTATCTCTATGAGCCTCGATTTTCTCATCTAATAGGAACAGTAGCACCTTATCCTCAGATTCGTTGTCAGAACTAAAAGCAGTAGTACGTGTAATAAGCATGTGAATAGGTTCCTGGCACACAGTGGACATTCAGCACGTGGCAGCAAGCAGCATTGTTATTAGAAGGTTAGTGTTATGAATATTATTATTCCTGTGTGGCTTTGTGAACCCCAGGATGCATCGTGAAATGGTGATCCTCCAGGATGCAGGCAGGGAATGAGGAGTTCCTGTGGGATTTTTTTCTTGGTTGAACTTAGAGACTGTTTGCTAGTACATATTTGTATTGTATGCATGGCATTAGGCTGACAAAAAATTGGGCTAAACACTACCAGTTCAAATGTTTTCAGAAGTTAGCAAGCACAGGCACAAATCCTCAACCCAGGGAAAAATCCTACTGCAAGTCATTTATTTAGCCTCCTGTTTTTCTGTGATTTGGCGATTGGCTTATAGGTAGAAAGTGCAATAAAAAACCTAGGACCTAGAATATACACTCTGGAATGAGATAAAATTTCAGTTGGTATTACCTTTTTACTGAATTACTCCTTGTGAAATGAGAAATGTTTTGTATGTAAACATTCCTTCTCCCTACCCTCCTTATTACATCAAGTTCATTCACACATGGGCACACTTTCCCTTTCACATTAGAAAGCTCAGTGAATTCTACATGAAATCCTATCTTCATAACTCATATCTATATGTATAATTGTATGTAGTCATTTTTTATTTATATGCTGGAATGATTTCATGTTTAAATGACAATGATTACAATGGGCGTTGAAGACAGTTTTTGACTCAATGAATTCTTGCTCATTTCCTCTTTTTTCTGCTACCTTCCAAGGTCTCTCATGGATCACTCATTCATTCAACAGTATTTTCTGAGCACCCACAATGGGCCAGGCACCATTTTTGGTGCTAGGAACGTGGCAGTGAAATAACAAAGCCTTCCCCTCATGGAGCTCAGTTGGATGATGATCATGGTGTTTTTACTTAATAGAAGCTCATTTTCTACTTTTGTGGGCAAGACACTGGTTAGATTTTTCACTTCAGTGGGTCTTAAAAGTTTTTCTTCTAAATCCCTTGCACGTAGGCATGCAAATCAAGAAACTAAGATAGGTTTAGGACTAGGGAACACTTTGGTACTAAAGTGAAATCGTGAGGCAATTAAATTCAGGGACTTGGGAAGGCGTATACATATTTTGACCTTCACTGATGGAATGAGTAACTGATCTTTTAAGTGTTTTAATGCTAATGCTTTATTTCTGTAGACCTTGCATTACACTCTTTTTCCCCAAAGTGAGAAATGCTGTGCAGATT